GGGGGGGGGGGGGGGGGGGGGGGGGGGGGGGGGGGGGGGGGGGGGGGGGGGGGGGGGGGGGGGGGGGGGGGGGGGGGGGGGGGGGGGGGGGGGGGGGCACAGACTGGAAGTGGCAGGGGGGAGGGGGCTTCTGGTGCTATAATGTTGATTTGCTTCAGTCTGGGTGAGGGGCTAAACAGATGTGTTCAGTTTGTGAAAATTCCCCTTCTGTAACATAAATCGTACTTCAATAAAATTTGACAGAAATGGTCTCCACAGAAAAATGTTGACTCTTCCTGAAACAAGGTGTCCACTTATATCTTTTAATTCCCAAAAGTGTCCTAAAATTGGCATGACCCAACTATTCTCTTGCTTTTCTACTGCTATCTTTCCAGATTATTTTATTTTTTCTATTTTTTGGTGGCTGGCTGGTACGGGGATCCGAACCCTTGACCTTGTTATAACACCGCACTATCTAACCAGCTGAGCTAACTGGCCAGCCCCCAGATTCATTATTTTAGATTTCCTTGAAATGCTAATACAGGTCTGCAGTTCACTCATGTGTACATGTGTGTCTCTGTGTGTGTGTATGTGTGTGTGTGCGTGTGTGTGTGTGTGTGTGTTCTTGGCTCTGAGAGGAATTCCAGAAATATCCCTCACAGGTGGAAGCCATAGTGAGGAATCTGGAGTGTTTAGACGACAGCAAGAAACTCATCTGCATGAGAAGAAGTGAAGATAAACACACCTTTGAAGAGCCCAGGAGACCTGTGACCTCTGCCTTCTTGCTGGGAAGGAAAGGTCGAGATTGCACCCTCCCCGCAGGTGGGCAGGTGGGGGCCTCCGAGGAAACTAATTCTGAGGATCAGGCTTGCCAGGCAGGTGCAGGAGCAGCCTTGGAGAAACATTTATGCTAGAGAAAAGGCAACTGTCATCACTATTGTTGTCACACCCAGACACATGTGAGCTCATGACATCTTTATTGGGGTGATCCTCAAGGCCAGTGGGCACCAGGGTCTGCAGGCCACGCAACATGCACCACGGTCACAGAGCAAGCACCACGCAATTCCCTTGAAAAGCCGTTCACAGGGAGAAGGGAATCTCCACTGCCCAACACCAGGGCACACCAGACCGCCTGGTCCCCTTTTAGAACAGCAAAAAGCGCCTCTACCAGCTGAGCCCTGGGGCAGGGCCACCTGGGCCTTCCCACTGCTCCTCCAAGCCCTGTAGTCTCCCGTGAGGTGGGGAGGAAACTCAAAGAACAAATCAACACCAATAAGAAGAAAAATTCTAAGCTGCTCCAGATCCCCAGTTTCACTTTCCCACGTCCCTGATGGGAGGGCCACAAGCTCACAGGCACCGACGGCGGCCAGGGGCTTCGTGCTCTGCCTCCCTGGCGCCTGCAGGAAAGTAGTCCTCGGTCCTGTACAACACGGGCAGCTCATACATCGGGGGTGCTGGTGCGGATGGTTTCTGGAATGACAGAAAACAAGGTGTGTTATCAGCAAATGGAATCTACTTGTTCTGTGGCCCAAGAATTCCAGTCCTAGGAGTTCATCCTGCAGGAGAGTCGCACATGCGACCAACGACATCTGTGTTTCTCTGGCCACACTGCCTGCAAGAACCAAAGTCAGCCACCAGAAGGGACCAGGGCATCAGCATGGCACCATCTCCACAACAGAACACTCTGCCAGCATTAAAGGGAGCCGGGCAGATCTACACCTTCTGATAGAGAAGTGATGAGAAAGCAAGGGGACAAAGGAGTGTGCCTCGGGCTAGCACCTGTGACAGAGGAGAAGTGAGCCTACACTATGTATGTGACAGGCAGCTCTGCAGGGCCAGCTGAGAGCCTGGGCGTGGTGGCCGTCACTGGTGAGAGGCACTGATTTTTCTTTTGCTCTGCACCTATCTGTGCTGCCTGAAGTTAGTGCCATATGCATGTACGACTCTTGCAAAAAATAAAACTGTTGTAAGAAGTGCTTACTTGTTTCTGATGTGGATTTTGGGGGAGGGGTGGTTGGGAGGGGGAGATTTCCTGTTAAGCAACCCCTCTCCGAGCTCTGCTTGACAGGACCCTACAGTTTACATGCACACAAGGTTCATGGAGGATGACCTCAGATGGCAGTTCTCAAACTGGGCCATCCATCGGAATCTCCTGGGAGTTTTATGAAATACTTACACCTGTACCCTGCAGTAGAGTCTGATGTCCCAGGACTGGGGTGTGGCCTGGGCATCAGGGTGTGTTCTGATACCTTCTCCTGCAGTTACCCCAGTGACTGCAGCCTCTCTGGAGGAAGGAGGGGTCGGCAAGGCTGCGGGATGCTGCTCCTGGGTGGGCCCAGCAGAGGGATGGGCAGGAATACAGGTCAGGTATGCAGAGGGAAGAGACCCTCTCCCCACAGCTCCCTGGACTGTTCCAACTCCTGGCCACCCCTGCCCACTCAAGCTGAGACCCAGTTGTGGTCCAGCCTTCAGCTGCAGCCAAGGTGCCAGAGCAAGGACGGGGGTCCCCCTCTGCCCTGGTTACTGGCAGCTCCCCCCTCACCGAGCACATCTGGGTGACCCGCACTGTGCTGCCTGCTTACCTGTCTTCCCCCACACTTGACACCATAACTGTCACCTCCATTGCAGAGGGGGAAACTGAGGCTCAGAAGGTGCCTTGCCCCAAGTTACACATCCTCTGAGCATCCATCCACTCAACCACCATCTCACTGAGCATGTGCACTGGGCCAGGCCCTGTCCTGTACGCTGAAGACACAGCCATGACCAAGACCATGGTCCCAGCCATCACGGAACATGCCATTTAGTGGGAGACAAGAGAGCCCAGAGAAACAATGCCACCATGTGGCAGGGGCCAATGGTGGGAGGCACCAGGGCCTTGGGAACACAGAAGACCCAGCTCATCCCAGAGGGGTCAGGGCAGGGGACTGAGCCATCTAGGACCTCATCCACAGCAGCAGGAATTCACCAGGAGTTAGAGGAAGAGGGTATAGGAGAGGGGAAGGGGGTGGAGGTGGTGTTCCAGGCGGAGGGAACAGCGTATGCAAAGTGGGGTGTGGTGTGGGGGGCTTGAGGAATTGAAGCAACTTCTTCCAAGGTCAGCTAGGTTAGAGCATAGACTAGGATGAGGCTGGAAACCAGGTCCAGACCACACAGGCTCTCGGCAGCCACACTAAGAACTTTATCCTAAGAGCACCAGGGAGCCTCTGAAGCTATTCAGTGGGGTGGGTGTGTGTGGGTGTGGGTGTGTAATTAGGTATGTGTTTTAGGAAGAGCAGAATAGAGTAGAAACAGTAAGGGAAAGAGTGGCTAGGGAGGAAACTGAGGCAGGTGTCCACTAAAGGTGGCCAGGTTAAGGGTGGGAGTGGACAGATTCTAACATCTGAGCTCCAAAGCCCTTGAACTTTCCACCCCACTGAGCCTTCTCTCTGTTGCAGAAGGGAACCATTGAAGGATTTTAAATAAGGTAGAACATGCTTGACTATCTCGGGACCGCATATCAACCTGTGTCACCACCTCCACGTCTGGAAAACCAGGACCAGTAATTCACCTTGGCCGAGGGTCAGCCTCCCACAAAGCAAATAGAATATTGCATCCGGTCAACCCTCGCCAGCCACTCTTGCCTCAGCCTGCTTGGGGGTGGCTTGGGAGACAGGACCTATCCCCACCTGCCCTCTCTTCTCCCAGAACCTTCCCTAGCCACCTCCTGCCCCTGCAGATCAGTAGACACGAGTCCCCCTGAGAGCACCACTGTCAGAACACAACTGGGAAGTGAGCGACAAGAGACATCCACAGCCAGAGGGACGCAGTCTGTGGACAACCCACAGATCTAGAACATCTTCACCCTCTTTCTCTTGAGGACTGGCCATTGCAGCATCTAGAAAACACACCATTCGAGTGAATAATGACAGTTCAAAGACCAGCCGTTTCATCCACATGACATGGGGGCCAAAGAGCACTTGTGATTCTGAAAAGACCTGTCCCTTCTTCTCCTGACCCTTGGGACCCAGGCAAAGGTCAGAGTGTCAGGCCAGCAAGGCGGCTCCTCCTGGAACTGCTAGGCCTCATCCTGACCCCGTACCTTTTTGAAATGGTTCTACCACCAAGGATGGGGATTCTGCCTCCTCCCTCAAGGAAAGAGACTTCCAAAAAAGGAGGAAAATCAACATAATTACAAAGCAAGCAAGGAGAAGTAGTAATAAGAGACCCTATCAGCTTTAGATGTAATTGTATCTTTAGGCCCAGCAAGAGCTAATGCAAGAAACCGGTTGTTGCGGCATCTTGCCTGGTGATGGAGGGTGATATGGATTGAATTATGTTCCCCCAAAAGTTTGTGATCCCCACTGTGACAGTGTTAAGAGGGTGGGAAATCCTATTATGGTAATTGAAAGGTGGGGCTTCAGGTGATTAGATGGTGAGGACTATGCCCTGGGGACTAGATTGATCAGTTCATGGAGTGATGGGTGTGTGTGGTTCTGATGGTTTTATATGAAGAGTGAGTGAAGAGTTAGCCTCTCTCTTGGTCAGCTTATGCTCACCATGTGACACCCTGTGTCACTGGGGTAAGTGACTCACAGCCAACTGGAGACCTGGGCCTGAAGTCAGCCAGGCAGGGGCCAAGGGACAACCTGTCCACTTCCCCTTCAGGTACCAGCATCTTGATTTTTCTAAGGGACCCACTTGTGCTCCCTCCCACCTGAGCAGCTCTCCCCACCCACAGTGATTGGTCTAGGGGGAGCATGTGACCCACACCAGGCCAATGAGAAGCAGCCACGGGACTCCTGCTAATGGGACAGGGGTGGGGGGATGGGGTGAGGGCCACTTCTGTCACCACAGGGAGGCAGAGCCTGGCCTCCTGAGAATGAAGCCAACACTGAGGGAAGCAGGATTGGGAGACGGGCAAGTTGGAGTCCTGGCAATATCATCTGAGCACCTGAGTCCAATTTTGCCTGAGGCTAGAATTACCCTGGGACTTTTCCTGTTCAAGAGCCTTGAGATTCTCTTCTGCGCTTAAGCCAAGTTCACCAGGGTTGCTGTCACTTGCATCTAAGAGTCCTGCCTAAAACAAATAATAAACTCACAGTGGCACCAGCCAGTGCTTGGAAGCCAGCAGCTGGAGTCAGCAGGGGAGGCTGGTGTGTGAGGCTGGAATAGCCAGATGTTCCAGACGCCAGCAGGTGAGCGGGACCACACCCCAGGAGTGTATTCTCATGGCCACCTGCAAGGTGAGGAGTCGCTCCACGTCTCAGAGGTCACAGGCACAAGGGAACCATGGGGTCCCCTTAGGCCTGGCTGGCTCCAGGCCCAGCCCCCGCCCATCATCCCACAGGGCTCCTTAGGGACACAGGAGCAAACCTAACCCCTAAGGGTCTCGCCCATGGGCTTCACCCTTAATAATCCCAGAGCAGACTTCGGAGCTCTCCACCACCCACCCTGTGCCCTCCGGCTGGTAATATGATTCCCCTCTGGGGTCAGCCAGGTAAGCGAGGAGTATCCCAAGCTTCCGGTTCTGGCTCCCCACCCCCACCTCCCAGCCTGCTTTGGGGTAGACTAGGTCAAGGAAGGAAACCTGACACCACTGGTCCAGGGCTCTGCCATGTCCTCCTCCACTGCCCAGAGCCCTGCCTGTCATCCTCTGCCAGAGAGACCTCTGGGGCGCTGGCCTGGCCTGTGCTCCCGGGTCTGCCCACACCCCCACATCTCCCCACTTCCACCCTGGACACCTGAGTTCCCAAACCAACAGCCCATAGGCCAGATGCACATGTGCTTGGTCTGCTTCATGATTTTGTCAAAGTGGAATTAATTGCAAACATATGAAAATCAGATTTCCCATGAAAACCACACTGCCAGTTTCTCTTGGAAAATCAGATCATCTGGCAGCTGTGGGCCCATGGTCCCTCGTGGCTCAAGGTGACCAAGCCGAGGAGCAGCTGCCCCTGAGACACTTCCCATTTCTGTAACCTGCTGTTTCAGATGCCTCAGAGTTGGCACCCCTGGCAATCTGCACCACCAAGCACTTCCTTTTCTGACAAAGACCATGAATGGCTGCCGCAGCATGTGTCAAGGTGAAGCCTAAGCCCCGGCTGCATTCAGAGCTTGTTTTCTGAAGCCCCCCAGTCAGGTCACCATCTGCTCTAAAGCCAAGCCCACCTACCCCAGGGCCTTTGTTTGCCCTGGGCCACCCTTTCACTCCTATTTCCAGAAATCCTCCACAGCCCCTCTTAGGTCCTCGTATCTCCCTTTTAGGAAGCCCTAATTGCACATTCCTGATCCTGGACTGCTTTCTGTTCTGCCCAGCGTCAGCAATCTTTTTCTGTAAAGGACCAAACAGTAAATACTTTGCACTTTGCAAGCTACCCGGTCTCTGTTGCAACAACTCAACTCTGCCCTGGTAGCACAACAGCAGCCGTAGACAATAAGTAAACAAAAGGCATGGCTGTGTTCCAATAAAACTTTATTTACAAAAACAGTGG